CGTGGCACAGGCGTACCAGGAGAACATGTACCGCCAGCTTTCCCGCGATGCCAGACAATGTCCCACCTCGCCCATCAAACCAAAGAGACCCTTTGTGGAGTCAAATGTTTAATAGGCGCCCAAAAGGGTGGGCATAAGGTGTGAGTGACAGTGAATGTGTAGGTGGAGGTTATTAAAGCCAGTATTTTGAATAGAGGAAACGGCATAGTAGAAACACTTTTAATAAACTAAAAAAACAGAGTTATAGAAGTTGTGTACAATTACCTGTGCCTACTTTAAGTCAACTTAATCTGTTGGTAAAAACTTGAGTGCCAGACACGCTACAAATACCCTGGCAGCACCCTTTTGGAGCATTGGAGTAAAAAAAATGTTCTTTAAAGCTCTGCACATTATTAGAAATTTATTGACGTTCCACAACAGAGGCCGACACACAGAGGAATAGTGTGTCTTGCCATCGTTCCCAGCACTAAAGCAGAAACGCAACTGGCAATCTGTGTTGAACTCATTCCCTCTCTCACTTAATCCTTCTCTCTCTCTTTCCAATGAAACTAAACTAATTTGCTAGGCTTTCTGGACATCATATTGTTGAATTGTTCAATACTGTAAAAAGTGCAAATCTGTTTCAGAAAAATTAAGTTGTAGTTATAGTTATATTTATAATTAAGTTATATGATGTATAGAAATATTAAAGCGGATTTTGTGTCAGGTTTATTTTGTTTTCTCTTTAATTTTGTATCTATTGATTTGGACTTTTGGAAATGGTATCAGATATTTTCAAAATAATGATTCAGAGTTTATTGACTGGAGATTATTATCTTTACAGTTATTACCTTACAGTTCTGACTCCCGAGCAGGAATATTGCTTGTGTCAAAATTCACAGATGTAGAGTGGCAATAATATAAGTTCAAAGCACTTTCGTGGGAATAAGCTTAATGTGATTTTCAAGTAACCCTCTCATTTTGTGGATATCGCTAAGTCTTTATTTACAAAATTAAAAAATTATTTACAAAGTACTGGAGTGCCAATCCAGACGTATTTCAAGTGGAGGAATGTATCACACCATAGACGTCTTATGAACTCTACAGTATACAACGCAACAAAGTTTCAGGGGCGTTTGCAAGGTAGTAATAGAACTTCTTCTCTTTTTTCTGTTTCTTTATTGTTCTAAGAAATGGAATCTTGCATTGTCACAAAGAAGCATTAGTATATCAAGTGAAGTATGTTTGTTTTAACTTTTATTCGCAACTTTGGTCTGTCTGTGACATTATGACGAAAGAGAGCACTGTATTCTTTTGTAAAGATTATATGGAATGTGAATATTATGTGTTTTTTGTTTTGCTTTGTTTTTGGATCTGGGATGGGAAATCAAACGTTACTAACGGACGTTCAGTGGACGCTGGAAAATAACCTGTGATTAGCTGTACTACTAGAAATCAAATAGCAGTTATTGTCCTTGGTGCAATTCTAATTTTTCAAGCAAATGAATGAACAATAATATAAAAGAGCAAAATTATGTTTTTAAAAAGTGTATATAACAGCCTTTTTAGAGCGCAGTGTACTTGCTGTATATAGTGGCCTCCTCTGCAAACGCGTCACCAAATGCAGCGTGAGAAAGACTTGATGAACCTCACACGTCTAACACAGTTCAGTGGCGTCACACATACCGAAAGGCAAGCCAGCCGTTTTGAAATCGTGCATTTGTCGTGTAAAAATACAATATTGAGCTAGTTCCTTTTGAGGTTCTCTGCTTCAGAATGCGATAGTATTAACATGCGGAGCTTAAATGTGGCTTTGGTCAGATCTTCTCAACAAATAGAGTATATGGAGAGATCTCAAGACAGCTTGTCTTAAAGGCAACCATACTCACCTTCCTATTGCTGTAAGTGTGAAAGCTTGAATCGAGAAATGCCTCATGGTCAACTTTGGGGAAAAGCTAAATAAATAACACTTGGGAACACAGGACTCTGATGTGTGGTTTTTCAGTGCAAGATCATAACCTGACGCATGATTTATCCCTCTGAAATCGACATACACAGACGATTCGTGAATCTGCCGTATGTCTAGGAACTAAACCGAAATAAAGTTCCCACCTGACGAAAAAATAAATCTCCACCAAACTCAACAGGAGAGATGTGACATTTACCTCTGAAGGGTTTGGCCATTCTTTTTATCTTTCAGTTGGATTTGAGTTGATTTTCATGCACTTGCTTGCTAAGCAGAGTTTCTCGTCTGTAAATGTGAGCTTTCAGAGCGCTGTGACAACGTTTAATGACTTCAATAAACCAGAATATGTTTTTATCATGTCAGTTGTCATTTTTATATGCTTTAAGAAATGTATAACTGATCGA